CCGTTCCAGCGAACGGAGAGGCTGCCCCTCCTAGCCTCGAGCGGTCCCTCCTCCGCCGCGTCCCGGCCGACTCCCTCGGGTCCCCGAAGCCCCATCCCGCGACTGACACTCCCTGCTGCCTCGCCTGCCTCTTCCCGGCGCGCTTTCCTTGGGCCCCGCTGCGGGCGCGGAACGCAGAACTGACCCCAAGTCGCCCTGCGGTGCCACCCGCGCCTCAGACGGAGCTGCCCCCGAGGAACAGCTCCCCTCCCCCAAACTCCCCGGCGTGCCAAGTGCTCCCCTCTCAAAGCTGGCCTCAGGCTCGTGACATGCCCCCCGCCACAGACACGACCTGCCCCCCCTTCCCCGGCCGTGCCACACTGGGTGTCCCCAGCTCTCCAAGGGCTGCCTCACTCTTGGTTCCCTCAGTTGCCCCTTCCGGGCCTGGGCGCCCTCGCTCGGCGGAGAAGGGGGGTGGGGTGGGCGGGGGCTTGGCCACGTCAGGAGTTTGCCTGTGCCGGGCCTGGCCGAATCGGGGACCCTGGCCCCGGGACAGCGCCAGCGGCGGCGACTCCCGGAAACCGCCCCCTCCCCCGCGCCCCGCCCGCGGGCCGCCCGGCCGCCCGGCGGGCCGGCCCAGCCGGCTCTGTCAGCGCGGCTCACACGGGGAGCGCCGGGGGAGCGGGAGCGGCGCCCGGCCCGACCCCTTCCCCCGCCTGGCGGCTGCGGCTGAGCCAGGGTGGGGTGCGCTTTTCTAAGAATCCGCTGTCGCGGGCGGGGGGCACACTGGAGTGCCGCAGGAGTGGGGCGCCTGACTGGAGAGTCAAGAGCAAGGAAGGGGGTGCCAGGGCAAGCGAGGGGGGCGAGCGCAGGGGAGGGGCCCGGGTGGCTGCCAGGGGCCGAGGGCGCAGAGCTGGGGGAAGTGGGGGCTGAACTGCGAATGGGAGGCTCGGGGTGGCAGGGCTGACTAGGGGGCTTGAAGCAGAGATGGCAAACTGTACTCTCCCTCCCCATGCGAGCCGCCCCCCGCGTGCCCCAAACCCCACTTCTGAATCCAACCACCCCCCAAAAAAGGAATCTGGGAGGGGGAATGAGTGAAGTGCAAAATGAGGAGTACCCCCAAAACGAGGAGGAAGAGCCCTGATTAGTCAACTTGAGGCTGTCAGGCCTCCCCCTCCCCCTCCCCCTCCGAAATCTGAAAGGTCCCAATTAAGTCAGGCCTGCCTGGTTGGTAATTAGAACCAGAAGTGGCCAGGCCACGGAGAGGGGGGTTGGGAGGAGGGCACAGGAGGAGTGGGGGGAGGGCTCCAGGAAGCCACGAGTCCTCCAGAGCCCCCCTTCTCTCTGCCAGATGCACCCCACTCCTCATGGCCTCTTCTGTATCTACTCACTGCAGGGAGAGGGTGGCTTAGGACTGGGCCTCAGGGTGTCAGACCCACCCTTTCCATCCACACCCCATCCGATTCTAGACAGATACAGTAGCCTTTGGGGAGAGGGTCCGGGATTGGGGGGCTCTAATGCCCCCTCTTTTTCCCCCAAATTCCCCCCAGCCCTTATTGCAACAATTAGACCCATTAGCCTTGTAGCATTTCATGGGAACCAGATGTTCCCCCGCCAGCCAGCCTTGTGGGAGCAGGACAGGGGCTGCTGCCTGTGATCCCCACCACCAGGGCGCACCCCCTCCCAGCGAGAGCCCCACTACGGCCCCACTACGGCCGGGTCCTAGAGGCGGTGGAATGTCCCCTTTCCCCTAGCAAGGAGGCTACTGGCACCCAAATTCTTGCATGGTTCCCCCCTCAGGGCCCCTACCAGCCTGGCAAGAGTGACTTCAGCCAGCCAGGACTGGGTGGGGGGGTGGGGGGCAGCTAACTCCTTATACATCCTTTCTTTCCCCCTCCTGCCACCTTCTGGACAGGGCTGCGGGATAACCAGCTCTGAATTCCTCATGCTAAATTCTCCTTTTCTTCCAAAACCCTCCCTCCAAAAACCCCCAAAGAGGGGGCATTTCAAAGCAGGGCAGGCCCCGCCCAGAAGGGTCCCACCTGAAGGGCCAGGGGAGGGGTCTCCGGAGGAGGGGGCAGCCAAAGAGCTGTGGGGGTGGGAGGGGGGACCAGGAGGTGTGAAGGCGGGACAGGGGCCCAAAGCAGGGATGTGAGGAGCACTGGGTAGGTTGGGGGCTGGGACCGGGTAGGGGGCCAGGAGAGGGGGGTGCAGGCTGGGCCCCAGCGGCGGCGGCTCGCCCGGCTCCCCCCGCCGGAGAGGTTTCCTGTTGCAATCAAAGCCCCATTTGTGTCGGCCTGGAGCTGGAGCCGGAGCCGGAGGAGGAGAGACCGGGGAGGGGAGGGGAAGGAGGCAGTCGACTGGGTTTTTTTTCCTGGAGGAGGCCTTGCCGCCCGCCTGCCCGACACCTTGCCCGCCCGCTCCTTCTCCCCTGCGACTCCCAGCGTCTCAGTCTGCACCTCTCAGCCTGTCTAGCTGCACTCATGCTGTGTCAGGGCCCTGCGTCCCTCTTGTTCCGTGTCTGTCAAGTGGGACCCTTTCTCCCTATGCCAGCCTGCTCTCAGTTTCTCCAAGTGACTTCGCGTGGTCGAGCTGGAGCTCCTTGCCTCCTCCTGGAGGACACAGGCCTTACCCAGGGCCAGGGCAGCTGTCGCCAGGTTCAGAGGACAAACTGAGCCAGGTGTTGGGATACAGCAATCTCTCTTCCAGAGGAGGAAGAGGGCAAGGCTTCCCTTCCTTCCCATAACACCCTGTTCCCTGCAGACTTGATCAAGCGAATATAAACCAAACGTACGAGCGTTTGCTCCACAGGGACGCAGACGCCGGGGGTTCGAGCACACGCATGCAGGGTGCGTGTGAGCGCACACCCTCACACATACACCCCTCTGATTTCCATACACACAGGCCTGAGCTTGCCTCTGCAGCTAATGCTCCCCTCACCCCGCCCCTCCTCCACTGCGAGGTTCTGAGGTGCCTGCCTCGCCCAGTGAGGCCTGGAGAGAGCCTCAAGAGCCGAAGCAAGGGTGTCCCCAAGGTGCTGGGGGCCCCGCCCCAGGGAGAAGCTGCAGAGTCCCATACAGACCACTGTCTCGCTCTTGCTCTTATTCTATGAGAGGGGTGGTGTGCAGTATAGGAGAGAGAGGGAGAGGAGAGCGACAGACTCAAGGTGACCGTGGCTATGCCATCACGTGCAGGCCACTAATCCTGCTCTGTTACATGGGCCAAAGAGCGAGAGCAGGCCAGAGAAATGGGAGACCCTCTCTCCCTTCACTCCAGGGTCCCTTCCTCTCCCCTCAAGGACCACCAGGTGCTGCACGCCCCACACCCATGCAAGCTGTCTGCACCCAGCCTTCCCTTCCTCCCCCAACCTGCCTGCCACCTCCCTGCCCAGGCCTGTCCCCTGCTGTTAGCCACACCCTCCCCAGCTACCAGCCCTGGGTCTGGCCCCTCCCTCAGATTTCTCCCTGTCCAGCCCTCCTCCAGGGCAGCCTTTGGGGTTGGGAGCCCAGCCTGACCCTTTCCCTACCTTGACCTCCCTTTGAACCCTGACCTTGATCTCAAGTGCGGCCAGGGCACTGGGGACTGGCTCCTGGCTCTCAGCATTCTCCCTACTCCCAACCTCTCCCTCTTCCAGCTCCTGGGGAAATCAAGTCCCAAGAACTGAAGGGCACGGCTGCACAGAAGACATTCATGCGGGGAGGGGTGGTTCCTTCCCACGTCTCCAGGGCCCTGGGACAGATTCATGGGGTGAAAATGAGGTAGGGAGGCAGCCCAGCTGGAGTTTCCAGAAAGGGGGCTTTGTGCTCTCGTTCACCTGCACGCCACTCAAATAACCCCGGTTGGAGTCCAGACGCGCCGCGCCGCCGGCACACCTTCGGCAGCCCCTTAAGTACCTCCTCACACTGATTCTTTGTTGCTGCACACACTGGAATCCTGAGACCAGTGGAGTCCCAGGGACACAGTGCATAAGGTCTGTACACACACACACACACACACACCCTTTCTCCACAGGAGCTCAGGGGAACTGCCAGCACAGTCTAGTCACTCCTTTCACTTTCACATCCAAGTACCCCCTCCTGATGGCCCTGTCGCCTTTCTCCCACCTCCATCTCTCTCCCTTTCAACCATTTTTCCCTTCTCTCCACTTGAGGCCATTTCTTCACCAGCATACACTGCTGAGCCTTCACCTCACAGAGCCCGGTGCCCTGCCCACCCACCACCCCACCCCACCCCACCCCGAAGCTTGTGGGTGCCAGGCACGCCCACCAGTCACAGCCCAGCCAGGAGGGACAAACTACCAGATGGGATGAGGGGAGTCCTGAGGGAGCAGGAGAGGCCCAAGCCTTGCCTGCTGTCAGCACCCAGAGGCTTAACCCAAAGACAGCAGGCCTGGGGGACAAGTAGGGATCTGCACAGCACATAGGCACAATGCCAGGCCTGGAGGTGGGGGAGGAGGCCAGCGCACACGTGGCTGGAGGAGAGGATGTTTCTGGAAACACACCCCACCCACCCCCGATTACTTATGGTACAAGAGCCACCTTCTCTGTGTCTGTTTTCGCCTGACCCAGAACCAAGGCCGAGAGTCTCCTGACCCCAACGCATCCCTTGGGTACCTGGTACCCAATTTATTTCCTCTTTTACAGATTCCCCCTAATTCAGAACGATCTCACCTCTTGCTCACAGAGCAGCTGACTGGTCTCCCAGACACCTCTCCTGTCCAGCCTGGCTCCCCCCACCCTCCCACTGCGGAGCTGTACACCCAAGGCTGGTCCCCCTCTGCTAGCTGGCTGATGTGGGAGGCAGGTGCAGCCTTCTCAGTGAGGGGCCTGCTACTTCTCCATCTTGTAGGGGCAAGATGCTCCTTTTGCAAACACTTCCAGTTAGCCCACCTCCAAACCTCCCCCTGCCCCAAGCCCCCCAAACCCTCTGCCTCACTGGAGGACCAATCTTGCAACTCGTCCACCCTCCAAATGCCCTCCTGTTTCCATTTGCCCTTATCCCCCAAGGTCCCTGAGACTCACACAGAGAGGCCATCTCCTTGGGAAGGTCAGGCTGGCCCAGGCCCCGGTAGCTAGGGCTCAGCATCTCGAATGGCGGAGACCCCCTGAGTGCCCCTGGAAAGGCGAAGGGGAAGCCTGCCCCCGGGTAGCCAGATCCAGGCCCCAGGGCACCAGCTGTAAAGAGTCGCTCCTTATTGGTGGCCATGGCAGCTGCGGTGTGGGAGTCCCCTGGGGTCTGCAGTGGGCGGGGGAGGTCTTCAGCCACAGCCCCTGCCCATGCCCACTGCCCCGGCCTGGGAGGCTCCGTGCCCGCCCTGCCTGGCCTGCCCACTGGGTCTCCAAGGGTCCTAGAGAGAGAGAGAGAGGGAAAGGAGATTTGAGTGAATGACCACTCTGAGGTCCCGAGCCCATGGCCCTCTGTGCTGCGCGGGTTAACACTCCCCAGGTGCAGGGCGCTGGTGGTGTGGAAGACAGAGCAAGGCAGGTGCTTACACAAGCTCTGAGAGACTCCAGACTGGCTCCAGGGAAAGTTAAACTGCTGAATGATGTGCTAAGGATCTCTCTGTCTCCCCTCTCCCTCCTTCATGAGAGGTCTTTTAGACTGAAAAGTAACTATAAACCACCATAGCCAGGCTAGACGTTTGCTTTAACCTTTAGTCCTATGAAGAAGGAGTTATAACCCCATTTCACAGATGAGAAAACTAAGGCTAAGTAACTGCCTTAAGGTCACATGGCCTTAGGTGGTGGAGAGCCAAGATTCGAACTCTCTGCCACCCTGGAGAAAGTTAACAGATCTGTGGAGCAGTGCCCCAAGTGTGCAGTGATGATGGGCACAGACCTGGAGCCAAACTCCTGAATCGATATCCCCCCTGCCACTTGCTGCTGATGGGACCTGGGTGTGTCGGGTGTGTCTCTTAAGCTCTCTCTCTCTCTCTCTCTCTCTCTCTCTGCTCACAAGGTTGTCATGAGTATTGGTTTCACATATGTAAGGTGTTCAGGATGATACACAGCACATCCTAATGCTATGTGCAGGTCTCCCTTGCCTCTGTACCTGCTCATCCTCCACACCTCTCTTTTAATTAGCATTTCCTTCACTATCTTTCTCAGTTCTCTGGCTTCCTGTCTCCCCTCCCAGTTCTTTCTGCCTGCAATTATTCCTCACCCTGTCCCAACATCGCTGGCAGCCTCTTTGAATCTGAGGACGCCCTGGCCCCCTGCTCCCCTCCCAGGTCTGGTATCAGGGAGCTCCTTTACTCCTCCACTTGCTTTGTGCCTCACCTCTGGATCCCCCGCTTATGGGAAGCTCTCTCTTGCTTCCTCTCCTCCCTCAAAAGTAGGCTTCTCCCAGACATGTTTAGCCTGAGCCCAGGGGAGAAAAGGGAGGGAGAGGGGACGGGCACGGCAGGGCAGGCAGGTGGTTTCTCTCCTGGAGCTCTGATGAAGCCAAGCCCCAGACCCACCCACCTGAGTAGGGAGTCTGTGACCTGGGTACCTCCGCCGGGAAGAAGGGCAGAGGGCTCCCTGGGCAGGGGGGCCCAGAGGTCGGTAGGTAGGGGTTTACACCTGCCCCTCTTTCCAGCAGTACATACTCCCAGCCTCGGTCCTCTCTGTGTGCCTCTGCCTTTTGTTGTTGTTGGTGGTGGTGGTGTTGGTGTTGCTGCCTCTCTAACTTTCTACCTTGGCCTTCAAGCCCCCTGAGGGTCAGTTATGAGAAATTGTGGTCGTGGAGGGCACAGGAACTCAGACCCCAGTGCCACCCCCCTTCCCTTAGGCCTGATGCAAGAAGCAGCCCCTGCCTCTCACCAGGCACCACCCAGGCCCCAGCACCCTCAAACTCCAGCCCAGTGTCTGCCCAGGCCCTAAAAGTCTCAGCTCTCAGTCCCCAGAGGCCCTCTCCCTTTGCTTCCCCTATTCCATGAAGCCCTCATCCCTGGTTAAGCCCAGGTGGAGCCAGGAGTCCTGGGCCCCTTGGGCCCCTGGGCCATAGCTCAACAGGCTGGGCCACATTCCAGGTGGATTAACCCCTCCAATGCCAAGGGTGAGAAGCTAGTAGAGGACCCCCTGGTCTTCTCAGACTCTGCTCAGATGGGAACTGGACTCTTGGGCTCCTTGTCTTGCTTCTCACCTGCAGCTGGGAGACCTGAGGGCAGTCAGGAGGGCTTCAAGGGAGAGGCAGCCCCAGGGAGGGATGCCCAGATTCTTGGTCCTCAACAAGGAATGATGCTGTGACAGAAGAAGGGACAGCCAAAGCCCCCCCTGGCCCTCCCCCACTGTTGGGACAAAGAGAACAGGGATTCTTCCCAGTGCTGAGCCCCGGTTTCTCTTCCTTGGCTGGGAAGAGAAGGGGAGGGTCTTAAATCCAGGATAGAGGGAGGCACCAAGAACTGAAGACAGAGCAGAATCCAAGGGAATCCCCAACTAGACCCCCAGATGCCTCAGAGAAGTTCTCCGGAAGGCATCTCTCCTCCCAGCACCACCCCAGGGATGCCGGCCCGAGCCCGCGGTGGAGGTGGGGAAGGGGCTCTGACAAAGCTGCCTCTCTTAGAGCCAAGGTAGAGTGGAGGAGAGGGCACGGATGAAGGGGGCTGCCGGATGAAGGGGGCGTCTCCCCGCTGCCCTGCCCGCTCCACAGCCTGGAACAAAGCTGCTCTTGTCGGCCGCTCTCCGCCCGCTGCCCCCCTCCCCTCTGTATAAACACGACCACCTTTTTCCATGACCCCAGCGCCAGCCTGGGCGGGGAACCCAGGCATCCCCTGCTCTCCTGCCTGGGCCCCCAGCCTGCTCCTCAGAAGGGAACAGCAGTGGGCTGGGTCTCCCTGGCTTCGTGCCCCCCCTCCCCCCCCCTTGGGGGAGTCCAGACCCCACAGTCTCCACCTCTCATCCCCCAGGTGCCCTCCCTCCACCCCACTGGCCCCAGGGAGGGGCAGTGCCCAGGAGGCAGGCAGGCAATGCCAGTGGAATGTGTGTGGGCATCGGAGGGCACGGGCAGGGTGGGGCAGAGGGGGAACTGGAGGTGCCAGTTAGGTGGCTTTCTGAGCCAGGGGTGGGGGTGTGCCGGGTGGGGGGGCGTGCCCTGTGCTACCTACGCGGTGCTAAGCCACAGTGTGTGCTTCTACATGGGACTCTCTTTGGGTTTCTGGAGCGCCGGGCACCCTGCCTGCACTCCCCTCCCCATCTCCCCCTCCACTTGCCTCGAGGATATGGGACACTGGCTGTGGTCCCCAACCCCACATCTGAGGAGTGACCTCAAAGGGTTCACACCTCAGGCTTGAGGACTTGGACCCCAGCAGCCCAGGGCATGAGCCCTTAAAGGGGTGGGGGTGGGGAGGACAGTCCTCATCCAACCTTCTAGCCCCAGGGACCCCTCCTCCCCTCCCCTCCACCAGCACCATCCCGGGTAGAGTCTTACCTCTGGCCACCTGCAGAGATGCCCTGCTACATACTGGGTCAGGTTGAGGGGGCCAGGCTGTAACTGCTGAGGATAGAGAGGCAGTGTCAGTGGGACTCCAGACTAGGACTCTGGGGTCCCCAACCGGGTCTTCCTGCTCTTCCTTTGTTCCATCTGGGCTCCCCTCAAAAACACTCCCGGAGAGCCCCCCACTTGGGCTGGAGGAAGACATGGTGAGGGGTGGGGCATCTCAGAGAGGGACCCTGAGCTGGCAGAGCAAGACTTCACATCCCTGCCCTGCCCCTCTGCGATGCTGGACCCGGGCACTGGCCTGGGGACCCTTTTCTTGCCCTTCTACTGAGCAGAAGAAAGTTGGACCTGCTGAGACCAGCGAATCCTCAGCCCCTCAGAGCCCCCAGGCGGCAGGGGAGATTGGGGTGGGAGATGTCTCCCCGCAGAAGGGAGCCGTTCTGCCTCGGGCTCCGGGCACAAAAGTAGAACAGATGCCCCGTAGCAAAAGAGTCCCCCGAAGCTCTCCCCACTACGCACTGCAACCAAGCGCAGGCACCCAGCCCGTGCCCAGCCGGTTTAGAATCTTCCCACATCAGGGCTGACCCCCACAAGCCCCGCGGACGGCCTGCCCGGCCCCGGGGGGAGGGAACAGCCCCGCGCCGCTCCCCAGCGCACCCTCCCCAGCGTACCTCGCCGGAGGACCCGGGCGTCCGCGGGCGGTGAGCCTGCTTCCCCGCCTGACTCACCTGGAGGAGGAGGGAGGGGAAGGGAGGCCGCGGAGCCCCGAGGTCCCGGCGTCGGGCGGTCTCGGGGATGGCGCGTCGCAGTGTCAGGGGCTCGCGGCAATGGGGGGCTCCGGGGTGGGGGGGCACGGCTCTAGGCTGGGACTGTCTCGGGGCCTCTCGGAGCCCGCCCGCCCACGTGACCGCCCCAAAATATCCGACACATTTTCTCCCAAACCGCACACTGACTCTGCAGGCGGGGACACGGAAAATATTTTCTTTCTTTTTCTCCCTCCCCACCCCCCCACCTCCCTCCCTGCCCAGCTCCCTCCTCCCCCTCCCGCCCTCGCTCCTCCCTCCCCTGCCGCCTGCCCCTGCCCGGCTCCCTCCTCGGTGCCCTGGGGCTGGGGGGGCGGGAGGCTGGGGGGGAGGGAGGGCTGGGCGGGGCGGCCCGGACGCCTGGGTCTCTGCCCCTCCCATTTGCTCAGCTTCGGTGGCTCCATCCCCGGGGAGGCCGGGCAAGGCTGGCAGAGGAGGTCAGCGTCCCGGAGCCGTGATGCCAGCCCTTTCTCTCTGGCACTTTCCCCTTTCCTGCCATTTTGGGGGAACTGGTGGAGTTGTCTCCCGTCAGGCTGTGGTTGTCCCAGGCCAGAGTCTGGTACCTCCCAGATGAGGTTGGATGAGGTCCTCCCACGGGTGGGGTGATGGGGCAGCAGTGTGCCAGGGCAGATGTCACTGTCCTTACCCTCAGCCTAGCCTTCCCCCGAGATCAGAGAAGCCTGGCCCTTCCCTAGCCTACCCCAGACAGCCCCCTGCAGCCCCAGGAGCAAACTGGCTGAAGCAGCGGGGGTTGTAGGGGGTGCTGAGGCCTAGGATCTCAGAGCACCTCCCTCCCACCCTCCCCAGAGTAAGCTCCAGGAGTTCGGACGCTGGGTCCCAGGCCACCGGCGCCATCCCCACCTTTAAGATTGGATGTGGAGGGGGTGAGGGCGGGGAGGAGGGTGGGAGGAACTGTGGCTGGGAGTGGGAGGAGCCTTGGGCTGGGTGTGAGGGAGAAAGCCCAGGCAGAGGGTGTGTGTCTGCCTTAGCCAGCACTGGCCTGCCTGCTGCCTGCCCGGCTGTTAGATACGCCACGAATGTCGACGTGTGTGTGCGCGTGTGTGTATGTGTGTGTGTGTGTGGTGTCTGCTAGGGACATTGTCTGACTGCAACACGACTGACACAGACCCTCAGCCCTAGTGTGCGAGCCCCCAGCGATGTCGCAAACACAGCAAGAGACAGGAGGGTCTTTAGTCCGAGCTCTGTGAATGGGACCTCCAAACATGCCCCCCCCCGGGGGGGGGATTGGGCTTGGAAGTGAGGAGGGGGAGAAGGGAAGCTTTAGAGAGAGGCATGTCCAGGCTGCTAGCCTGGAGACACACACTCCGGAGGACCTTACCCAGTAACACTCCCAGGGTGGCCAGCACCTGGAGCACAGGCTCCCGGGTGGCGTCACATTTTCCGTACTGGAATGACTGTCCTCGCTGCCACACTGGGGCCCAGGTGCCCCCCCCCACCCCAGAAAGGGCACTTTGGGTAACCAGAGTCAGATGAAGGAGAAGGGGAGAGGAGGAGAAGGGGTGTCAGCAGGGGTGCAGACAAGCCTTCCCTCTCACTGCAGGGGTGAGAAGAGCTGGGAAAGCTACCCCCAGGGTCCTGTCCCCTGGTGGCCTGGCTGCTGTTGACTCTGCCCGGTTCCCAGGAGAGCAGCTCTCAGCCATGTGGGAGGGGTGTCTGTTGGGGAGCTGGACCCAGGCGTCCCGGGCTGGGGTGGCAGGGCTCCTGCCAAGAAGCTTCGAAGTTAACCCCTCTTGCCCTGCCCTGGTGGCTGCTGGCGGAAAGAGGGCGGGCCCAGCTGCGGTTTGGGAATGTGGCCCTAATTCTCCCCTCCTCCTCCTCCCTCCCGGCACATCTGTAGTTGGTTTACACTGAATGAGTCTCCTGTCCTCCTGAACCAGGGAGGGCACGGCTCCCTCCCTGGCAGAGCGTTCTGACACAGACCCAGCCACCACCCCGTGACGCTCACCTCTCTCAGCTCTTCCCTCTCCTTCTTTGGAAGGACTGGTCCCGGGACCGCTGGAGGAGCAGATGAGCACTGGGAAGCTAGAACAGGGGACAAGACACTCAGGGTGGCCTCCAAGGGTGCAGAATCCCATCCGTCTCTGCCCCCTGCTTTGTCTTGGTTGCTCTGTCTGTCTGCCTCTGTCTTTGTCTCTGGCAGGCATTTGTCCATCCATCCGTCGAACTAGCTGGAGCTCCTCCCATCTGGAGGCCTCCACGTCCCCATCCAAGGACTGAAGCCGGGGCAGTGCCCAAGAAGACTCACCCGACGCAGGCCTTACTCCTGGGCACTGCCTCTGCCTCTCCCCAGGACCCAAACCCTAAGATCAGCTCACTGCAGCAGATGGGGGTGGGGGTGGCCCAGGACTTGGCCCTCCTCCCACCCCCACGCCTCATCTTGCAGTGGAGCCAGCTATCTGGCGGGATTCCAGGAGGGGGTTTGGGAAGAGGGCTTCCTACTCTGGAAACTGGTGGCGGGCACCCTCCTGCTTTCTCTTTCCCTTGGGTCAGCCTGGTTTCCAGGCTTTACTGTTTGTGGCTGCTCCACTCTGTCGCCCTGGCAACTTAGAGAAACTGTATCTTGGGGGCCCTAAGACCAGGCTTCCTTTGCTCCCCTCATTGCAGAGCAGGGGCAAACAGAGAGCTGAGAAGGCGAGGGAAACGATGCATACAGACTTCTAGCCCACCTGCCCCAACTTGGACTTGACTATGTTGCTCCACCCCTAATTTTGCACCCTTGCCCCCTCCCCACTGGCATCATCGGGGCACCGAATTCATCATCATTTTCCCGTGCCCAGTCTCCTGCTGCCAAGGGTGTCCTGTGCTGAGCGAGCTCGGAGGTAGCTGGCAGATGTCTGTGGGGGGGTGGGGGAAGCTATGGTATAACCCCCAAGGACATCATTAAGGCATGGAAGTGCTGTCGGGGCTTGGAGACCAGGGGCATCCAGGGAGAGTGCGATGAAAACATGTTTTGTTCAGCACGTGTCCTCTCCCTTCCCCTCTTCTCCTGCTCCCCCCCTCCTCCCCCTCGGCCCCGCCGTGTGCCAAGGCTGGTGCCAGCCCTGCTTGCTCAATGCCACCCCTTGAACAGGGCCTCCTCTGCTGCTTGCCAGCCTGTTGGCCCCTGGTAAGTGAGTTTGTGTGTGGAAGGTCTTCACCAGCCCGCCCGAGTGCTGCCCAGATCTCCAAAGAGAATAAGGCCTTGGTTTTGGAGACACTGGATTTGAGGACTAGCCCCAACTAGCTCTAGGAATCTCTTCCTTGGATAGATGCGCGATCCATTAATTCAACACATTTTTTATAAAGCACCCACTGTGTGCCCAGCAGTCTGCTATGCCCAGGAAATGCTCTGTCCTTGCAGGCTCATGGTCTGATGAAGCGGTCAGATGTGCACCAGACAACTCACAACACTGCAAGGAGGATTATCTGTGCGGAGGAGCACCAGGTACTGTGAGGACGGAAGGTGAAAAGGAATTTCCCCAGCTTGGTGGATGCGGAAAGTGGAGAGAAGGGAAGGCCCAGAAAGGTATGTGCAAAGGCCCTGGGATTGTGGTCCTGGCTCTGAGCCGCCCTGCTCCTCCAGAAAGAAGAGGGGCCTCCATTGCTGCACCCCAGCTGGACTCCAGTGTGCCACAGGGAGGGAGCGATGTGCACACTTCCTAATGGCCAGAGCAGACACCGGGATCCCTGCTGGCTACCTTGGAGTGATTTCACCCATTCCCTCGTCGTCACCTCCTCCAGACAGAGAGCAAAGAGGCGTCACAGGCTCAGGCTTGAGATTATACTCCCAGAAAGCAAAGCCTGGCTCGGCAAATCCTCGGGAGCGAGGGATTTCTGAGTTGGCCCAGAGTTGGGGCCTCACCAGACAGAAAAGCCCTCTGCTCTGCGCCTGCTCTGCCTCATGCCCTCCCCTCCCCCTGCCCCGATCCAGCCCTGACCTGTCCCACTCCCTGGAGCAAGCCCGCCTGCCTCCACGGTTACCTGGAGTGTGCACTGGCTGCCGGCTCCAGGTGTGTGCCAGCCACTGTGGGGGTGTGGGGTTAGCTGTCTGTTTTGCATGAACCTCCTTCCATGGGCTGGGGACTTTTTCTCCCCACCCTGGGGGACCTTCCTCCTGCCCAGACACAAAGTTCCAAGATTTTTCCTTTCTGAAGAAAAGAAATTGAGGGCCCTTTGGAGAAGGAAGCAGGCTTCTTTGTGGCTGTACCTTCCCTGGAGCTGCCAAGGAGGTCATGGGACCAGTGGGGTTAAGTTCCAGCCCTGCTCTGACCCACTTTTCTCCCTGTGCCCACATCCCCTGGGGCCAGCCTGGCACCCCCACCCCCACACCTGGGACTTCCCCCAGGTGGAAACTCCCAGAACCCGGGTGTCCTGCCTCCACTGCCAACTCTCACCAGCTGCCTAGGTTCTGTTCAGTTTCAGTTGGGTCTTCCCATCTGCCAGACTTTGACCAAAGTATACCTCTGCCCCAGGCCCAGAGGGGCCCCAAGGATGTGGGCCCACCCTTTTAGGCCATCCTTGATGACTGGCTGCCCCCTCTGGTAGACTCCTTTGAAAAATAAAATAAGGGGCCGGGGTAGGGGGTTCTGGGAGAGCTTTATTGAGTACCTACCGTATGGCAGGCATTCTGCTAGGTATGCACCTTACCTCATTCAACTCACACCATGGGGAAGTCCAGAGAGCTGGCACTCGCCAACCCCCTTTACAGAGGAGGGAGCTGGGAACCAGAGAGGTTGAGGGACCCACCCACTACCACACAGCTAGGAAGCAGCAGATGGGAACTCAGGTTTTGGTGGTCCTGAGCTTTCTTCAGTACAACAGCCATCCTCCCCTTCTGCAGTAGCTGCCCACCTCTCCATGGGATGAGAGACTTGGGAAACTCAGCTCAAGCCAACCCAGAACTCGGCATCTGACAGGTGCCAGGCACTGTCTTCAAGGTGTGATGAGAAACATGGGTGTTTGGACATCAGCGTAGGGGTCTGAACAGGGGGCCTGGAGCAGAGAAAGAAGCAGAGAAAGAAGAGGTACTTTGACTTCCTTCTTTACAGCGTGTATAAAGATACTATAGGGGCCGGCACTGTGGTGTAGTGGGTAAAGCCGCCGCCTGCAGTGCTGGCATCCCATATGGACACTGGTTTGTGTCCCAGCTGCTCCACTTCCAATCCAGCTCTCTGCTGTGGCCTGGGAAAGCAGTAGAAGATGGCCCAAGTCCTTGGGCCCTGCACTCGCATGGGAGACCCAGAAGCTCCTGGCTCATGGCTTCAGATTGGCACAGTTCTGATGGCCAACTGGGGAGTGAATCAGCAGATGGAAGACCTCTCTCTCTCTCTCTCTCTCTCTCTCTCTGTGTGTAACTCTGACTTTCAAATAAACAAATAAATAAATCTTAAAAAAAAGATACTATAAACAGGGACTGGCTCTATGGCGCAGTGGGTTAAAGCTTTGGACTGCAGTGCCAGCATCCCATATGGGCACTGGTTCAAGTCCTGGCTGTTCCTCTTCCAATCCAGCTTTCTGCTATGGCCTGGGAAAGCAATAGAAGATGGCCCAAGTCCTTGGGCACCTGCACCCACGTGGGAGACCTGGAAGAAGCTCCTGGCTCCTGGCTTCAGATTGACACAGCTCTAGCTGTTGCGGCCATTTGGGGAGTGAACCAGTGGATGGAAGACCTTTCTTTCTGTCTCTCCCCCTCACTGTCTGTAACTCTACCTCTCAAACAAATAAATAAAAAATAAAAAATAAAAAAACAAGGCAACGCCTTGGTTTTCTCTAGTAGGTTTTGTTTGTTTATTTATTTACATTTATTTGACAGGTAGAGAGGCAGAAAGAGAGAGAGAGAGCTTCCAAATACCTTCAATGGCTGGGGCTGGGCCTGGCCAAGCAAGGAGTCTGGAATTCAATCCAGGTCTGGGTGGGACGGACCCAACCACTTGACCTATCACCTGCCGTCTTCCAAGACACACATTAATAGGAAGGTGGAATCAGAAGTGGAGCCAGGGGGCTGGTGTTGTGGCACAGCGCATTAAGTCGCTGCCTGCAATGTCACCATCCCGAAAGGGCATCAGTGCAGTCCCCACTGTGCCATTTCCAATCCAGCTCCTTGCTAATGCTCCTGGGAAAAGAAGTGGAAGACTGGCTCAGGTACTTGAGCCCTTGCACCCATGTGGGAGACCCAGAAGAAGCTCCTGGATCCTGGCTTCAGCCTGGCCCAGCCCTGGTCACTGTAGCCATTTGGGGAATGAACCAGCAGGTGGAAGATATTTCTGTCTCTCCTTCTGTCTGTAACGCTGCCTTTCAAATAATAAATAAGTCATTAAGAAAAAAAAAGAAGTGGAGCCAGGACTTGAACCCAGGTACTCTGATATGGGATATGAATGTTTCAAGTGGTATCTTAAGGGCTACATCCAATGCCTGCCACTCCATATTTTTCTTTACAGTTTTAGCATCTATGTGTGTATCCCCTAAGCAATATTGCTCAATTTTGCCAGTTTTTGAGGTTTATATAAATGGAATGATTCTGTATTACTCGTTTGTGTCTCATTGATTTTGCTCAGCTTCCTATTTGGGAGACAAATCTGACATATCCAAGTTGTTACTGCACCTACCTGTTGTGTGTTTGTTTGTTTTAGAGTTAGAGCAGGAGAGAGAGCTTCTATCCACTGGCTCTCTTCCCAAATGCCTGCAGTGGCCAGGGCTGGGTGAAGGCCAAAGCTGGGAGCCAGGAACTCAACCCAGGCCCCCCATGTGGGTGGCAGGGACCCCATCACTTGGGCCATCACTGCTGCCTCCCAGGGTCTGCATTAGCAGGAGTCAGGAGCTGGAGCCGGGAATTGAACCCGGGGCACTCCAGTATATGATGTAGGGGTCTTAACCAGCGTCTTAAGGCCAAATACCTACTCCAATACTAGCTATCTTTTTCTTGTTACATAGTTTTCATTGTATGATTAAATCACGTTTTTAATATCTACTTTTGGTAGACATTTGAGTTGTTTTGAATTAACATAAATGATGTGGCTACAAACGTACACGTTTCCCAACACATACCACCAAAGAGTTATTTCTTTATAAAAAAAATTTATTTATTTTCATCTGTTTTAATTAATTAAAAGGTAAGGCGAGGGCCTGGCGCCGTTGCTCACTTGGCTAATTCTCCGCCTGCGGCGCCAGCATCCCATATGAGCACCGGGTTCTAGTCCCGGTTGCTCTTCTTCCAGTCCAGCTCTCTGCTGTGGCCCAGGAGTGCAGTGGAGGATGGCCCAAGTGCTTGGGCTCCTGCACCGGCATGGGAGACCAGGAGGAAGTGCCTGGCTTCTGGCTTCGGATCAGCGCAGCATGCTGGCCCTGGCAGTCATTTGGGGGGTGAACCAACAGAAGGAAGACCTTTTTCTCTGTCTCTTTCTCACTGTCTGTAACTACTGTCAAATAAATAAATAAATAAATCTTTAAAAAAAAAAAAAAGGTAAGGCGAGACAGACACACACACACACACACACAAAGATCTTCCACCCTGGCCTCCCATGTGGGTGGTAGGGGCCCAAGAACTGGGTGTGCATTAGTAGGAAGCTGGATTAGAAGCAGAGCAGCCAGGACTCCAAGTGGCACTCTGATATGGGATAGGGCTGTCCCAAGTGGCAGCTTAACCCACTGCACCACAACGCCTACCCCCAAGCAAGAGTTTTTGTATGATCTAGAGCTAAGGGTCAAACTGTAAATGCAGGCTTAGCTTTATCAGATAATGTCAAACTGTTTTCCAAAATGGTTGTACCAATTACACAGGTAACTAGGAACAGGCGTGGGTACAGAAACTCATATTTTCTTGCCTGAATCCCTCAATGATTTCCCTTTTTTTTTTTTTTTTAAACTCAGAATAAGATCCAAGTCCCTGGGGCCACCAACATTGTGGTACAGTGGGTTAAGCTGTTGCTTCTGACACTGGCATTTCATATTGGAGCACAGGTTCAAGTCCCAGCTGCTCCATTTCCAAACAGCACCTGGGATGCAGCACCTGCTGATGCACCTGGGAAAGCAGCAGAAGATGATAGCCCAAGTGCTTGGATCCCTGCCACCCAGAGAGAGTTCCTGGTTCTTGGCTTCAGCTTGGTCCAGACCTGGCTGTTGTGGCCATTTGGGGAATAAACCAGTGTATGGAAGATCTCTCTCTCTCTCTCTCTCTCTCTCTCTCTCTGTTCCTCTCTCTCTCTCTCTCTGTCACTCTGCCTTTCCAAAAAAAAAAAAAAAAAAAAAAACCACGACAAAAAAGATCCAGTCCCTCGGCAAAGGAGACACTGTGTGTGCGACTCTGCTTCGCTCGCTGAACTGCTCTCATGCTGTGACTCTCCTGCTCATGACACTTTTTGTTCCTGCTCTCTGGAATGTTCTTCCACACAACATTCCCACAGCTTGCTCCCTCACTTTCTTACTTCCTTCTCTGTTCACCACATTTTTAAAACACCTTGAGAGACACAGAGAGAGCACTCCCACTGGCCAGTTCCCTTCCCAAATGCATGATGGAGCCAGGGCTGGGCCAGGGCTCAATCCATGTCTCTCGCTGAGTGACAGGAACCCAATCATTTAAGCCACTGCCTCCTGGAGTGTGCATGAGCAGGAGCCCAGAGGCAGGCATTGAACCCAGGTACCTGCTGATGTGGGGCATGGGTGTCTTAACTGGTGTCTTATCTGCTAAGCTAAACACCTGCGCTGTGTTCACCACATTTTAGATCTCAATTGCCAGCATTTCTTATCCTTTTCTTGGCCTTGCTGTCTCCATAACCCAGTTGTGTGGATTCCATTCAGTATCAGGCAGTGCTGCCTCCTCCGCCAGGACTGGACAGACCATGAGGGTACCTCAGAAGGCTTATCAGGAAATGAAATGAAAAGGTAAGTCTTATTTTGATGCAAAAAAATTTTTTTGAAAATTTACTTCTTTGTCATACACATTTCCATGAGTTTTTTGAAGACCCCTTGGAAATATGCATCTCAAAAATTTTTGCACGGAATAGACTTACCTTTTAATTCTGTTTTCCACGAATTCTTTGAAGTACCCCACCCCCACTGCTGAAAAGTTCGCAGCACCCAAGGATCCTAATTCCCCTGCCAGCTCCCGGCTACACCCGTCACTCAGTGTCTTCTGCCTCTGAGTCCTTCGGGAGCCCTTCAGGGGCCTGAGCTGCAGCTTTGGCGACCAGGTTGGAAGGATTTAGGGGAGGTGCCAGGGCCTACAGCGCAAGAAATGCTTTGTGGAGGAATCATGGGAAGACTTCAGAGATGCTGGATGCTGAACAGGCAGAGAAGAGAGGAGGGCACTCCAAGTAAAGGAATAGCAGGAGCAAAGAGCAGAAGGCATGTGCACACAGCCCTGTCGGAAGAGAGCCCTCAGGTCTGGCTTGGCCGGAGAGTTTTCAGGGGAGGGGTCGACGCAGGGGAGTGTCGCTGGGCAGGCCTGCAAGGGGAGGGCTGGATGAGATCTGAGCTCCAAAAGGCTCAGCAAGGCTCAGCGAGTCTTAGGTTTAATCCTGCCCCCCCACCCCCACCCCCTCTCCAAGCTGTCTGCCTGTGGCGTCCTACTCCACCCTGCCCTCCCCTTCACCCAGCCCCCAGCCTGGCACTCCTGCAGCTGAATGGACTTCTCTCTGGGCCTGCGCTTGGGGCCTCGGAACAAGAAGGCTGCACACCAACAGCCCCCTACACCCCCTGGGCATGGCCCACCGGCTGCCTCTCCTTGTCTGCCCTGTGCCCCTTCTGCCTATGCTGGCCCTTGTCCCGGCTGCCCCCCTCCCACCTGCTCCTGCACCGCCTGTCCCTGTCCTGGCATCCCTGGCCCACCCTGCACCTGCTCTTGCCCTCCCTGCCCTGCCTGTCCTCCCGCGTGCCCCCACACCGCCTGCATCCCGTGCTCGGGCCCACCCCTGACTTGCTGCCACGTCTCCCCATGTCCCCTTTATCCTTGTTCCCAGGGCCCAGCTGCCTGGCGGAACCCCCGCTTGGGCTGCAGTGGAGGCCAAGTGCCTGCCTGGGGGCCTCCAGGCTCCAGCGGCTGCTGCAGGGGCCCGCGCACTTCTCAGGGGTGCTGTCTCATAATCTAGACAGACGGCCACCCTGGAGAGATTGTCCCTCGGACTCCGGGAGCACTTCCGCAGCCGGGGAGCTGAGACGGGAATCAGCAGGCAGGTAGAGGTGGGCAGACCACTCCGAGCGGCCCCACCCTGGCATCTGTTTTGAAGTGCATTTCTGAGCATGCTCCTGCTGGTTCCAGAACCTCCTCTTTGCAACTTCTGCAACAGGAAGTGTTCTTCTCAGAGCCTCCTTGACAGTGGCTGAAGGTGAGCAACTGGCCATCCCTTCCCCCACCCCCTAAGCCTCCGCGGGAGACCCTGCTTTGCTCACCTCCCCCCTACCCCAGTTTGAGTGGGTTAAGATGGGGTCTTCCTCCAGGGGAGGCAGAGGCTCCTCCCACCTTGGACTATCCTGGTCATCTTTCGTGGTCCTTTGCTCCTAGCCAGGAGCCCTCTAGCCAGGTACCTTGCAAATCTCCGAGAGCTCACTCAGCCTCATGACCTCAATCTCGCAGCAATAATCCCATCTGAGACATTCATGCTTATCTGGCATGGGGATGAGGGAAGCTGGGAGCCCTTAGTGTGGGTTCCCAATGAGCCCATTCCCTACGTAGCTAGGAGGAGGTGTCCCGCCCCTGTGGGTAGGACTGGGAGACAGGAAAAGCCATCAGGATGGGAAGTGACAGACACCCAGGTGTCTGTCGGGACCTGCTCCTCTGCTCAGTCCCTATGCTCCCCTCCACCTGTCACTGGTTCTCTCTTCGGCTCTTCTGCTAACCTGCTTCCATCTTTTCCTTAGCCTCCTTTTCTAAGACCCTTTGTTTGTTTTCTTCCCATGCCTATTTCTTGTCCTCGTTTCTCTATCTCATTCCCTCCCTCTGTCGCTGGGACTTTCTGCCTTTACCTTGCTTGTGTCACAATACATCTGTGTCCCCACTCTCCAGTCCTCAACTCCTCTCTTCCTCCGCGTCATCTAATTGAAAGCCAGCTTAGCACAAATGTCTTTCTGTCTCCCCCTGCCTAGTCTCAACCCTCGCCTTCTCATCCAGTCCACATTCCTCTGCTTTTGTCCCATTCTACTTCTGGGCTTTCCCATTCTGTTCCCTTCCTTTTCGATTTCCTTTTCTGTTTCTGTTTCTCTTCCTGTCTTCTATAGCTAGGTGCTTTTTGACTTCCTACCTCTCACTCTGCCTCCCTGTATCTGGCTGGCTCTCTCCCCGCCCCCTGTCTCCCCATGTCTATCTCCCCTTGGTGTGTTCTCTGGGTTCTGCAGCTGTCTGCACACCACAGCTATACACAGGCCTGTCCCACTGGTGTGAAGGGCTGGGACACTGAGCTCTCCAGTGTCTGTACGACTACAGTCTTGGCACCAATGAGGGGGAGAGATGGCTACTGGAACAGCCTCCCCTTTCCAGGCCATCCATTCTTGTTCAGCTCTAAGCCTCAACTTTTTTTTTTTAAATATCTATTTATTTGAAAGGCAGAGAGAGAGAGAAACATATATAGAAAAAGGTCTTCCATCCTCTGGTTCACTCCCCAAATGGCTGCAACAACCAGGGCTGGGGCAGGCCACAGCCAAGGAGCCAGTAACTCCATCCTGGTCTCCCACAAGCACTGGGGCCATCTTGCACTGCCTTCCCAGGCACATTAGCAGGGAGCTAGATCAGAAGTGGAGCAGCCAGGGCTCAGATCTCTAATATGGGATGCTGGTGTCATTGGCAGCAACTAAACCAACTGCCATACGACACCGGCCCCCAAATCTTTTTTTTTTTTTAAATGATGCTTCTCCCAACTTCATATTCTGAAAGTTGGTAGTTAAAAATAATTAATCATTTAAGCTAACCTCTCCTCCTATCTCAGAGATAGACTGCGTTTCAGGATAGCCAAGTTGCTCTAAGTGGTGGAGACTAGTTCGTATTTACAAAAGAATACCAACATATGTGGAAGGATTATGGAGTCAAAAAATAACCATTTTGCAACTCCTGATGAAATAAGTGATCAAAGCAAGAATCACCAATGCGTGGAAGGCAAGGAAGATGGTTGACAAATCCTGCCATCACCAGGAGTGACACAACCAGACACTCTCCCTCCCGGTGCAACCCAGAGCAGCAGCTCCACCAATGAAACTAACCAAAAACAACCAAACAAGACTGAATCTAATCAAACTTCGAGTGCTAGCTTCCACTTAAAGGAACAGACAGCGGGCAGAGGAACACACTACATGACAGAATAAGGCCCTAAGCAGACACATCCAGACTCTGGGACAGGGCACAGGAAACCGACTCATTGCTTCAACTAGTCAATGGCTAGGAGGTAAAAGTGAAAGGGATCTTTAAAAAGACAGTCACTGCCTGGAACCCATAGTGCGCTGGGTTCCTCCTCCGCACAACCCAACCGTAACAAGACATCTCAAGACAGTGGGGACATTTTATTTGGGGTTGGATATTTACAATGCCAAGCAAGCAGTGCTAATTTTGTTAGATGTCCAGAGGGCTCTGAGATGATATATAAGAAAGTCCTTATTTCCAAGAAATGCGCGTGCAACAGCCTGGCCTAGGGACAGCTTCTGACCCCACCACCCTTGATCCCCCTCCCATCCTCTGCTGGCTAATGTCCCACCTTCAGGGAAAAAGCACCCATTTCTGAAGAGGTCCCTCAATCAACAAAGACAATACAAAATATTGTAAGCCTACCTTTTTTTTTGTAAGCTTACTTTTGGCTTCTGTCAGGTGATTCTTAGCAATGTGTAACACTCTGATGACAGACAGCTGGTCTCCACCTCTGAGAAAGAAGGCAAGCAATGTTAGATCATCCAGTCCCACCCGCTGCCATCATCCAGGAAGATCTCCATGCCCAAAGATAAGACTCTCACGATCTCACAGACTCACTGTTCTGAGTTCAAGGGGCTGAAGTCCAGGCCTGGGGTGGAGGGCACTCAGGATCTCCACGCCCCTCACACACTAAGCGACCTCGAGGAAATCGTGGTTTTTGAATCTCAGTGTTTCTGGATGAAAATATAGGAATCATTACTGCTTCCTACTCTCCAGTAGTTTGTGAGGTAGGGATGAAGGCGCTCTGGAACTCATAGGATATAAATCAGCTGTTGGCTTTATCCTAAAATGTAACCCCAGACATTCCTTTAAAAAAAAAAAAGATATGTTTATTTATTTGAAAGGCAGAGTTATACAGAGAGAGAGAGAGAGAGAGAGAGGTCTTCCATCGGCTGGTTCACTCCCCAGATGGCTGCAATGGCCAGAGCGACACCATTCCAAAGGCAGGAGCCAGGAGCTTCTTCTGGGTCTCCCACATGGGTGCTGGGGCCCAAGGACTTGGGCCATCTTCCACTGCTTTCCCAGGCCACAGCAGAGAGCTGGATTGGAAGTGGAGGCAGCCGGGTCTTGAATGGTTTGGAATGCCAGCACTGCAGGCGGTGGCTTAACCCACTATACCACAGCGCTGGCTCCCCAGACATTCCTATCCTATACTTTCCAAGCTGTAGGATACAGAAGTCACATTCACTAGTCATCTGTGCAGGCAGGTGCACCCGTATCTCAGCAAACACATGAGCATGAAAGTGGAAAGATCTGCTTCTGTCTCTTACCATTGACTCTGGACATGGTGCTTGGCCTCTCCAGCTCGAGGAGTCACAGTACCTGCTTGGTGGTGGCTACGAGGTTAAATGAGGTAATTCATCTACAGCAGATGAGCCTAGGGGGGCAGGCATTTGGGTTAAGATTCCAATTACGGAAGCTAAACCACTGCCTGCCTGCCGGCGTCCCATATGGGTACCGATGGGAGTCCTGGCTGCTCTACTTCCGATTCAGCTCCCTGCTAATGCCCCTGGGAACAGAGCAGAAGATGGCCCAAGTACTTGGGCCCTGTACCCATGTAGTAGATCTGGATGGAGCTCTTGGTTCCTGGCTTCAGCCTGGCCCAGTGCTGGCTGATGTGGCCATTTGGGGAGTAAACCAGAGGATGGAAGACCTCTCTGTCCCTCCCTCTCTCTGTAACTCTACCTTTTTTTTTTTTTTTTTGACAGGCAGAGTTAGACAGTGAGAGAGACAGAGACGGAGAGAAAGGTCTTCCTTCCATTGGTTCACCCCACAAATGGCCACTACGGCTGGCTCACTGTGCTGGTCCGAAGCCAGGAGCCAGGTGCTTCCTCCTGGTCTCCCATGCGGGTGCAGGGCCCAAGCACTTGGGCCATCCTCCACTGCCTTTTCAGGCCACAGCAGAGAGCTGTGGAAGAGGAGCAACCGGGACAGAATCCAGCGCCCCAACTGGGACTAGACCCCCGGGTGCCGGCGCCACAGGTGGAGGATTAACCAAGTGAGCCGTGGTGCCGGCCATGTAACTCTACCTTTCAAACAAATAAATAAATCTTTTTCACGCCTGCAGTGCCAGCATCCCATATTGTTCGAGCCCCAGCTGCTCTACTTCCAATCCAGCTCTCTGCTATGGCCTGGGAAAGCAGAAGATGGCCCAAGTCCTTGGGTCCTTGCACCCGTGTGGGAGACCTGGTAGGAGCTCCTGGCTCCTGGCTTCGGATCAGCCCAGCTCCGGCTGTTGCAGTCATTTGGGGAGTGAACCAGCAGATGGAAAACCTCTCTCTCTCTCTCTCTGCCTCTGCCTTTCAATTAAATAAATAAATCTTTTTTAAAAAGATTCTGAATGGAGGGTTGGCGTTGCTGCACAGTGGGTTAAGCTACCACTGTGATGTCAGCATCCCATATTGGAGTCCCAGTTCGAGTCCTCACTACTCTGCTTCCAATCCAGCTTCCTGCTAATGTACCTGGGAAGGTAGTAGATGATGCCTCAAGTACTTGGGCCCCTGACACCCAAGTGAGGACCCAAATGGAATTCCTGGATTCAGCCTAGCCCAGGCCTGGCTATGGTGGCCATTTGAGGAGTGAACCAGCAGATGGAAGATATACCTCTCTCTGTCACTCTGCCTTTCAAACAAATGAATATATATATATATATATTTTATGATTTTATTTATTTATTTGAGAGCTAGAGTTACAGACAGTGAGAGGGAGAGATATAGAGAGAGGTCTTCCTTCCATTGGTTCACTCCCCAAATGGCTGCAATGGCCAGAGCTGCGCTGATCCAAAGCCAGGAGTCAGGAATTTCCTGGTCTCCCACGTGGGTGCAGGGGCCCAAGGACTTGGGCCATCTTGCACTGCTCTCCCAGGCCACAGCAGAGAGCTGGATCAAAAGTGGAGCAGCTGGGTCTCGAACCAGTGCCCATATGGGATGCTGGTGCTGCA